CCGGCGGCCCTCCGCGGGAGAGAAAGGCGCAGGGCGGGGGGGGGGGCGCAGGTTTGGCCCCGCGTCTCCTCCCCCGTGTCCACGCGAGAGAAAAGGCGGCGCGGCTCCCCCTCCCCCACCTCACCCCGGCCAGACTTGCCCAAGCAAAAGGGGGGAGAGGTGAGCCGCCGGGAGGGGGCGGGGCAGGGGCAGAGCCGGCCCGCCGCCTTGGCCAGCTTCCCCTGGTCCCTGCTTGCTTGGCAGCCCCCCCCCTTGCAGATCGCCCACACTGTAGCCGGTGAGGGGGGTCGAGGGAGAAAGCGGAGAAGGACTTTGGGGGAGAAAGACAGGGGGGAGAGGGTGGTGGTGGGGAATCCGGCAGCCTTGGCCTCAGAGCGGAGGGGGCCAAGACACCCTCCTCCCTCGGGCGCGGGGCTCAGACCTCTCGCCAGTCACCTCACCCAGCAAGCGCTTTGCTTTCCCCACTCAGATGCCACCGACCAGGCTTCCATCGGCCTGCCAAGAACCGTCGTCTTCCCCCTCCCCTCTTGATCGGTCAAAGACCAGCCCGCAGCCGGACCTGAAACAACCCCGACCTGGGAAACCGGCGGCGGCGGAGGTCGTGTCAACGGCTGAGCCTGCCAACGTCTGTCATTCCGGCGCCGAGAGTCGGAGGCAGCGGCAACGCCAGGCTTGGAGAGAGACTGGCCAAGGCTTCGTTTCAGGGGCAGGCAGCCTCCCCCTGGGGTAGAAGAAGACTCAGCCCGGTTGCGATGCTCCCTCCCGGGACCTGCCTGCGTCCAATCTACCCCTCCAGAAGCCCGTCACTTATTCGCCTCTGGAATCCGGGACCCTAAATAGCCAGCGGCTTCCAAGCCACCCACCGCCCCGGATTCCCTGAAAGACCCACGTGTGTCTCCATCCAGAGAGGGCACACGTATAAACCACAGGCCCTCTCCACGAGCTCGCAGAAGCCCCACCGGCCTAGGAGCCGGGACACCCCCGCCTCCACCAGGTCACCCGGCTTGGGTCGATAACGTGTGTGCGCACCCGGCCAGGACGCGCTGACCTTTAACACGAGGCAATATATTATATTTTTGTTCCGGGCTCCTTTCTCCCCACGCACGTAGTCAACCGTGAAAGCCGAGGGGTGGTAAAACTTGTCCTGACAGCCCACTGAAAGCTTGGAGGCCGTGCGCGGGTTACCTCCGCCTGAAAGAAAACAGAAGAGACGAGCCCTCCGAGGGGTCGTTCCCTGGGACCAGCCAGCCCGACGAAATAACACGAAACAGCTGCCCCGGCCGGCAGCCCCGGACCCGGACGTGTGCTCGAGACGACCCAAAGACCAGGGAAAGCTCCTCAGAGGGCAACGCTACACGCTTTAGGCCTACAGCCGTACAACAAAGGGTTTGGAGGCTGGGACCCCTCTTTTAGGGCGAGCCACGCTGTTTGGACCTGGGTGGTGATGGGGAGACACCTCTGGGAACAAGCCGCCACCCGGGGGCCGAAGTGCTCCCTTTCCCCTCCCCCCCCCTCCCCACAACCACTAGGCTGGGGGAAACCTGCGTGTCAGGGACCTGGCGCCGAAGGGAGAGAGCTCAAAAGCCCTGCTGGGTCTTCTTTATGACCAGACTCCTCCAAGCAGCCAAGGGGACGTTCTAGCTGGTCTCCTCGAAGGAGGCGCCGGCGGTCAGGGCTTGGCAGCATCCGTGAAATCCCAGCAACAGCTCCACCGACACAAACGGTGCCTTACAGAACTAAAGGTTGGGGAAACAAAGAAGTCCCCCTCCCCCGCCAGCAGAACGGGATTCCCGGGATTTCTCTGGTCCTGGCACAGGAGGGAGGCTTTTAGACAGAGGAGAGCCCGGTGCGGTTCCCCCTCCCCAAAGCAACAACAACAACAGCAGCAATATGGAGGCGCAGGGAAACCAAGTTTCGCCGACTTCACCGAGAGGTCGTCCGCTCCAGCCCCCGTCTCCGGGTTCCGCAGCCCAGGTGGCGATTCGACTGGCCAAGAGAGAAGATTTGCTCTCCTTCCACAGACCGACGACCTTCCCGGCACTGAACTGCAACAAGCCGGCCCCTCGCGTCGCCTCGCCCGTCAAGGCCAAGGGGATGCGGGGATATCTGCCCCACCAGCTCCGACTGGTGCCCGGAGCCGCCCCCCCGCCGCTCGGCCCATAGCGGGAGCCCAGAGCCCCCTTCGCTTTCCTCCCCCCCCCCACCCCAAGGAAAAGGCGAGAAGTTAGAGAAGAGAACAAACACCGCCCGGCGCCAGGCCCGAGAGCAGGTCCGGCCACGGCCCTCGCCGCCCGGCTCCCCAGCAAACGCGGCCCGAACGGCACATGGCAGGTCCTCCTCCCGGGCTCTCGGCACACGCGGGAGCTGCTCTCTTTCCCCCCCCTCCCAACTTCGCGCTGCCCTTTCCTGCCCGAAGGCAAACAAATTTCGCCTTTGAAAACGCGAATGGGAAGAGGGACCCGCTGCAAGCGAAGTGAGCACCGCCATCTTCCCAGCCCTTCCCTGCCGACGCCAGCGTCGCCCCAACTTAAGTTCCTAAATTCCCCCGGAGAGTCCCGTCGGGCCCGCCGATCCCCTCCGCGGCACCGCCACCCCCCAGCGGGCCCGTCCCTATAAAATGGGCGCGCTCCCTGCCGCCCCCCGCCCCCCCGGATTCGTTTTTCGCGCGGCCCCGGCCGGCCAGCGACCCAGGCG